GCACAACAATACGGCATTCTAAGCGACGTCATGCGTATAAGTTTATTAAATAGATCACCGTGGACGATTGATAGGTAGTTCGTAACAATTGGCTCAATCTTTAAATACGGGTTTAAAGAAAAACAAGGTTTATGGGTAACCTTTAATGTCAAGTAAAAACAGAATATCTGAATTACTGGGAATCTGTAATTAAAATAAAAACTGAAGTAATTAAGATTGTTAATGCTTCATTTGCGATAATTGAGTACAGTAATAATATACAATAAGTACAATTTAACATTGTAGATAGTTGGAATAATAAAATATATATCGATAATTTTATGTCTTTCATCTGAATGCTTAGTCAGCACAAAAATTTGTATTTTTAGTTTTTCAAGGTATACATTTATAGGAATATTTTACATCCGCTGTCGAAGCGCATCCGCAAAGGTGCTAGCACAAATAAAAGGCCATACATAATTCGTCATATTATTCATAAATAAAAATCAGTGCAAGATCGGCAGATGCGAAAGGATTGCACACATGTCGGCAAGGTGCACACATCGTCTGCCCGATCTATAAGGCTTGTGCCAAACGCCACTTTACTTAACAAACAATCAGCAATAACATTAGTTTCACATCTGACGTAAGTGTCACGCATTTCACTAACTTATAATATGACTTAGTAATGTATCGAACCACATCTATGATTTTAGAAATTCATAAAAGCTTTCGTATTATCTTTTATAGAGTTTATAGAGAAATGTTATGTTTGATTAAGGTACATTTGAACAGTTCTTCATTAATCACAATGTTGTAAGTCAACTTAAGGTTGCGAGTAGTTACCGCACAAAATTAGGACTGCCCAAGTGTGTAGGAGCGCGTGGCGCGGTACCTTTGAGCCGGCCCCGATTCCAGTTTAGTAATTAAACATACAACTTTATCGACTGAAGACTTTTTCCTTTGCGAGGACCACCGGGCTATATCTGCTAGAATTGCAATGAAACGTTTATATGTATAGGCTAGACTTTACTAGCGTAATGGAACTGTCACGAGATCTCTCCTCATCTATAACCCACCGAATGAGTTTATTACGAGTGCACAACCCACTTATATGCAGATTCGATCAGCTACACGACAAACATATATGGATAACAAGCCATTAATTTTACGGGTTAAAGACTCGAGACATATTTTTACTTATCTCTTTATTACTCAGCTAGAATCATATCTGTATATTTGCATACCAAATTGCATAAAAGGTTTTAATTTGTTCGTATTTTGGTGATGTTATTAAGCTTTGAACTTTTATATTTTCTTTATTTAATCACTCGAATATAAGTAAATAAAATATGTCTATGCTGAGTATTTCTTCATAGTATATAAGCATTAATTAATAATAATAATATTGAATCAGTTTACCGATACTTTTCTGTTTTCAAAATAAAATATATACGAGCATCTAGATTCATATGACATCCGATAGACTAAAAAAATATAGATATATGCATAGTTATAACGATTTATGCAAAAATCATCGACAGAATCTGATTTCTTTGACAGAAAAAGATGACATTTATAGGAGCTCTCAATGGGAAAATTATGTTGTAACCATTCAAGAGAAACTCCAAGTGCTATCTTTCTTAAGTGATTAAATGAAGACGTTTTATATTTTGTTTACTTTAAATATTTAATCGGAACTTTAATTTAGAATCCCATTACAGTATTCAGTAGTGCTCAATCAAAAAGTATTACGATTCTCGTTTATACAATGGCATATAGTTCCATTGTTGTTTTCGTTTTAAAATAGAAAAATATACACGCTTCTTCACGATCCATTGTGCCCGTGTAGATGTCTCCATTTGCGATTTTCTAAGGTGTGGGCTAAATGTTATTTCACTATAGCATTGTGGGCACGCCCGTAGTGCTATTGTTCATGCACTTTGTGCTACGACGTATCACTCCTACAATTTCTTTATACTCTGTGAATTTTAGTGTAAAATGATGGATGGGTCCTATTCTAAAGGACAATTATGTGAGAAGTTATATGGATCTAGGGATTTCGTTACATAGATTAAATATTAATAAAATTTTTTAAGCTTTTCAATGTTGATATATATTATTATTTTTAATGTTTTCAAGTATAGCATTGTGAACGCAAAATTGATCAAATATAATATTATTATTTTTCAAGTAGGATACATATAAAAGATGCGAATGTTCCTAGTTGATTTAAATATAAGGAATTGTTAAGTTTTACACTTAACTTTACATCTGACGGAATTCGCATAAGATTACCAGAACTGATTAAAAAGTATAATCAAATGACCTTTTGAACCTGGCACACTCGACGAAAGATGATCTATCGCAGTTTATACTTCTATCAAACGTTTGTCAGATCTTTCGTCAGATAATGCGCCTACCCTAAACCCGAAAGCAAGATTGCTTAAACTATATTATTTGATTTGCTTTAATTATACCCTGATTTCATAAATAATTACAATTAAGTAAAATAATTATTCTTATGCAGAGTCTCTATTGTATAAGGTTCTGAATATGTATAAGGTTTCAGTTTTTGCAGTGTAAACAAAGCGAACTAGGCAGGTAAGCCAAAAGAGAATCAATGGGGACAAAATTTAATATGAATTGCTTCTCGAAGGCGACTCAGAGTCTATTAAAATCGCGTTTGGCGCCTTCTCAATGGAATGATTGAAGGGCTCTAAACAATTCATTCTAGCTGTCTCAATGGTGTGGCCCACATTCTTTGTGTAATCTTTTTAAAGCACAAAAGGCGTGACAATGGCCAGTACTTCACTATTCAATTCTCTTTAAAAACTTCGGTCGTTCTAAATTAATGTAATTTTTTCCGCTGTTCACTGAGGGTAATATTGAGTGGTCGATGCCGCCCAGTGTGCAAGCTAGAAGAAACCAAATGACTGAAGTTGGGGATATATACTCACTCCAATTGACATAAAATCCTTTTTAGATTGCAGGTTGCTCGTTGAGTTTGTTTTAGGTACTCTATTAGACACAGTATATTCCGTTGTTATAAATTACAATGAAACTGTCTATTGTTTAAAATTCATTGATGTTACCGTAATAAATTTAAGATTGTGTATTATTCGTCACTGTTGGGCCTCCACTTGACTGGTTAACTTGATTCTAATGTAAGTCGCCTCTGTTTAATACAATATATCAGCTGATTCTATAGCGCCTCCACTTGTTGCACAGCTGATTGTTATTTTTTTTTACTAACGTAGTCAAGTGAACATAAGTATTTGTTAAATGTTTTCTAAAAATAGCTTTAAATTATTTAAGGTTACAATCTAAGATTGAATGAAATAAGCGAATTACTGCCGGTTTCTGAATTAAAAAAAAGTACAGATCTCAACTAATTATTCTCAATAGTTTAAGTTTTTTCTTTTCATAAGACAAAAAGCCCTAGTTTTATCATATATATGTATAAGTGACGTTTAAGATGACTTAAGTAGGGTTTGAGTCGTGCTTAACTTTAAATTATCAATTCAGAAAGCGGGTGTTAAACTGTTGTTTAATTTAAGCTTCCGAAGCCAAATGTTTCGCAAGCAAGATTCAAGGAGTCACCTGTCTGTGAGGAATCTGTGAGATCCTCGGTATGATTCCCGGTCGGATCAATGTAGAACATGGACTTTTCTATATTTTCTCGGGTCTGGGTATTGTGGTATCTTCGTCGCTTCAGATACTGTTGATACAAGGGTTTTAGCTACTCATATTGGAATCTGAGCAATGCATATGATGTTGTCTAATATTTAATTATTTATCTCGAATCGTTCACTCGAATTTGATTTTTAAAAATATATGAATAAAAACAAGTGTACGATAGTTTACAAATTTGTCTCTGTATTTTTTACACTTTCTTCTAAAAGCTTTTTTAATTTTGGTTTATAAATGATTGGTCAAGAACATTGGTAGTGAGGCCGCATGTAAACTGGCCCCAGGGAAGTTTAATTAAGTAAGTAACTAAAGGACAAAATAAATATTCTTTGCCAGCCGACAGATTCCCCTATTAAGATAGTTATTTGTAGAGCTACTTTTGCGTATAATTGCTAATAATGTAACTAAAATAATATTCAATGATTTAAGACCAATGTATTTATAAAGTATCAGTAGCGATGTAAAGAAAGAAAATACTATATCGTATTTTTTTCTTCTTAATGGCGACACATTTTTAAGGAGATTTGGAGTTGCGAATATATGCAACCTCTTTTTAAATTCATATCTACCGCGGATGCATTACAGAATAGTACACCTCCGAAACCACACGAGATGTTATTAGTGTGTATATATGTACATAGGATTTGTGAAAAAGGGAATAGTAAAATAGAATTAAATAAGCTTCACTTATTCTATTGCGCACTGTCCCAGAATAAAATAAATTTTAAGGAAAACAGAAAGTGCTTATTATGTTATTTAGAAATAGACAGGTCAACATTCCTTAAACGCACAAATCAATGTTAAACATTTAGTAAGGAAAATTATTTATTTATTTGTAACAACAAATACGATAATTTGGAAAAACATAAATATAGCTTTTATTTCTTAAAAGACAGGTACATATAAGCTATCTTTATTGTTATCTATCAAAAAAGTGAGATAGTATTATTTATACTTAAAAACATACATGAATTTATACAGTTAACACGATTATAACAAAAGGAGCCTATGTCACTATAAAGAAATATACTAAATGCTTTTCTGTCTCAGAATTGTTTATTAAACATGTACATTTTATTCAATAAATTCTTTGGCACGTGTATGATGGTACATCTTTCTCGTTCATTTTTGGGTGCACCAGGTAACAAGAAAAAAAAATCTAAGGGAATAAGGGTTCTCTATCGAATTTTTTTAGTCAAGTTGCGCCCATAAAATGCGCCCGCTCAGCCCCAAGCGATCATTCATTAGATCGCTGCCGAGTAAAACGGACTTTCTAAGCTCTTCTACGTTCAACTTTATGATCGTAAGCTTTGTGACGTCACATCAAAATGCTTCAAGGAATTCGTCATCAAACAAACTATCACGTGTCGAACTATCCAAAACATGGAGCGTCGAAACTCGTGCCGATTGCGCCTGCGCCTGAAAGATATAATCACGAAGAAACTGAAAAGAGGAAATACAACTACAAAAGTAATCCATACACTGGTGCTCAAGCTGCTTCGATTGCAAGAAGAAACGCTAGGGAAAGGAACAGAGTCAAACAAGTGAACGATGGATTTAACGCGCTGAGAAAAAGGTTGCCTGCAACCGTCATAGCCGCACTTTCCGGTGGAGCCAGACGCGGATCTGGCAAGAAATTGAGTAAAGTTGACACTCTTCGGATGGTCGTCGAATATATAAGGTACCTGGAGAATCTAATCGACGAAAGTGATTTTGCGATGGGGATAAAGAAGAATACACAAATCACCGCTGCAGATTCAGTTGTCTACGAGGACGAAGGAATTTTCGATGGAACATCTCCATATTCGGATTCGGTGCCTTCGCCTGTCGGTTCCGAGTGTTCTTCGGGAGTGTCAGTTTACTCATCAAACAACAGTTTTATTTCAATTGGATATAAAACTAATGAGCAAATGACGCCGATGGACGAAGATGATTTACTTGATACGATTTCATGGTGGCAACAAAAGTAGCACAAAATTTATTTATTAAATGTGAATTTTCTAGTCAATCGATTTAATAGTAATAATGTTTTAAAATAAGTTGTAAATAATTTGTGATGATTGTAATTGAATAATTTATTGTACCTAATTTGTTCAATTAATGTGAGCACATGACAAGAAGGCTTATTTTGTAAATACTAGTTTACCAAAATAAAGTATATTATTTATTATAATTTTTTGGTTCCTTTTTCTGACAATAAACACACAACATGCTTCAATTATAAAACCTTAAGAGTCATTAAATATTGAAAATCTACCTTTACGCGTATCATGTATTTGTTAAAATACTCTATAATTAAATTGAATATATGATTTATTAATTTAATAGCAACTGATATTTCACGAATGTCAACTTTTAATGAAGAATAATAACCACTCATTTATATTTACGAATATATATAAATTAAATATTTATGACACGATTATCCTTTACGAAATAAAACGTAGTTTTGTTGAGAAATTAATCCTTTCTTTTGAAAAAGACTTAAATTGAGTTATGATTATGATGGACTTTATTAAAAAACAAGGAAGTTTAAATCGAGTGTTACTTTTTGAAAATAGCTCGTTGAATTAATATTTAACATCTAGTTCTTGAAATAGAATAAATAAGTCTGATTTATGAAGAATCCTTTATCCAACATTTACATTAAGAAGTAACTTCGGCTCGCGCCAAGGAAGATAAAGTGTAAAGATAATGCTGATTGTACTACATATTTATTACTCCATATAAGAAAACAAAATTATAAAATGAATGCTGTTATAATTGTTATATATTCATTTAATTAAGAATTCTGAGATTTAAAATTGTTTGAATAGAAACAGCTGATATTTCAATTATATTTAGATGAAAATAATTATATTGATAATAATAATAAAACAACAAAAAGCAATATTTAATTTAGTGCAGTCATTGTGAAGTTATATGCGTACATCAGTTTCAGAGATTTATTTTTGTACAAATTTGTAAGGTCTACTTGACACTGAGTCGAAACTCGTAATTCGGAATTATTATACGTGTATAAGTTAAAAGTTAATTTATCGAATTCTAATATTTTAGGGCAACAAAAGTGTATATTTAGTTATAACTATATTTTTATTTATGTATAATGAAAGATGCTCAAAGCTTCTGAACATTGTTACGTATAAAATTTTCCATAAAATATGACAGCTGTGCTATTTTTTAAATTAAAAAAAAATGTTAAATGTCACATGTTATGACTTATTCGCTGTGACACTTAAGATATACATTGAAGTAGATAAAAATTATCTGTATAAACAAAAAGATGGCAACGATATTGCGTCCACGGGGTTGATTAAGCCATCGAAGCGCGAACGTTCGCTCCAGCACATTGTTATACAAGATTAATGGTGTTCCCCCCGATAAGAAGGTGGGAGCTAAATGCATTTACATGTGCGAATAAAAAGATTCTGATAAAGGCACAAAGAAGTTTGTGTAGAATAAAAACGGTGAGTGATACACACAAGCGCCTACAATCAGAAATCACACAGTTTACCATATTAGTTTTCGAAAAGAAATCCATTATATAAAGCTTTTGTTACTAACAAATATTTATTTATCAATTTAAATTGCTATGGATTATGACAAACATCAATATGGCATTTTGATGCAAATAATATTAAATTTACCTATTAGAAGTGACTTTGAATGTATTAAAAATCATTAACCCAATAAGTATATACTGGACTAGCTGTTTTGCCATCACCCGCGTCAATTATAGCCTATGTCACCCGAGGATAATGAAGCTACTGGTGGGTGAAAGAATTTTTTAAAATCGGTTAAAACCTATTCAATGCATCACGCATCTTTATAATATTTGTCGAGATTGGAATACCTTAGCTTCGTTTTCTTTGCGTTCGTGTGTGACTTTATACGTTTCACACCGAAGCGTAGATTGGAGTTTACGATTATTAAGGCACTGATAGAAACAGAACAGGACTTATGACTATGCCTCCGACGTGTTCGGTTATCAATATTAACTAAAATTTGCATTGTTAATTGCAACTGTACTACTCAAGTTGAATCTAACGTGAGAACTAGATTTATTACATAGAGATTCGTGTTTCACTATGCAGTTGCGAAGATTACCTTTTGAGAAATGTAACATTCAATTTTATTTCCCATTTTGCTTTTATTTGCTTCCGTTTTGGTGGTAGGCGCAAAAAATGCGATTACAGAAACAGTGAGTGTATCGATTTTGGAAACGATTTTGTATCGGAACTATTTCGTTCTTTTGTACGTTAATCTTATTACTCGGGGCACGTGAGCTTTGTGATGTTCGTGATTTTTGGCAAAAGTTGCCGATAAACTTAAGGAGATTTAACATAAATCGAATTATAATTCGTGTTTTATATTGAAGTTTTCGAGATTTACTACTACTACTATTCTTTTATTTATATATGAATTAATTATGGTTTTATTTTTAAATCTCTTTGTTAATCTAGAACGTAAGTCAGTTATTATCACAGCTACAGGTTATAAATCTATAGTATCCATAGCTTTCTTTATCTATTGATCACTCGGCAATTGTTTAAAGTTTTCTCTGATACATTGCATCTAGATAGAACAATAAATTGTTTCTTTATGATCTCATTGAACCTTTCAATAACTCCTTTCATTACAAATGATTCAATGTATACCTCACTTTCACTCTATTGTCTCGTTTTATGTTACCTTTCAAGATTGTGAGTAATACTAAACATTTCGGAAGGCAACATGATGTCGTAATGTAGATAATTAATTTAAGATATTATATCAATTTATTATGGCTTTAAAATGTCATTGATATTATATTTCATTAGCTGTTTTTCCGTGACTTCGCCCGCGTATATTATAGCCTCACCTGCGTATGATGTAGCTTCCCGTATTTGAAAGATAATCGGTCCAGTAATTCGGAGCCTATCCAATGCAGACAAACCAATAAACAATCAAATCTTTCCTCTATATAATATTAGTATAGACTAACCACCAATGAGATCTTAAGCCACCAAAATTACGATAATTTGTAGCTAAGGAGACGATTATTTATAATTGAAAACATCGCATGCAGTAAGAGCTATCTCTTAAGAAAATGTTTTATGGCCTCCGCTCTGTCGCATCGCTGTTGCAAGATTTATTACATTATGAGCCGTATGAATACTACTCGTCTATTAAGACCAATAAAAATCTTTGATATATTTGAGTAACCTGGAACTATTTACATGTGCTAGTCACCATCTCTTTTTTGTAATACGCTTCATTTATAGGTATATTTTAGTATGGAAACGTTCGATAAGAATATTTTATGAACAAATATTTTCTATTATAAACACTATTTTATTCATAAATCAAAAATAAACTGTGTGATTTTACTAATCGAAATGTTAACTAATGATTTAAAGATTCTCAAGATCAAGTGACTTGTGAGCCAATGTCAATGTGTCACCTTTACAGGTCCAAGGTTTGATTTCTACTTGGATTAATGTAAAAAAACTTTATATATTTATTGTTTTAGTAAATTCGTAATATTAGTTTCTATAATCTGAGACTTTTGTAACTTAATTTGGGACGTAGCAATGTATTTGATGTTTTTTAATGATTTAGAGTAAAAACGTAGTTTGGAATTAATGTAATTTAATAAATTCAATAGTGGCCAAATCGTTTTGTTTGATTTCTGTTTACGCAACTATATATAGTAGTTAAGTTTGTAGTGAACTAGTCAATAAACAAAATGTCGGATATCGGTTTCCTCTGGAGACGTGATAGATGCGAGAGGAAGGCAGTCATCACTCGACTGTCTCTACATGGGGAATATTGGTGAAATTGTTAAATGAAACTCGAACTATCTGTATTAGTACGGATTTAAATATTTAGGTTGAGAAAACAGTTTAAAAGATTTCACGTAATTATCAAATGCATTTTTTTAAAGAAATTCATGCCTTGTGTCTAAAGTGATTGCGATTTCAAGTTGGCGAAGCTTGAAATAATTTTAGATAAATAAAGTTTACTATGGTTCATATTATTTTACCCTGAGTGTATTAAAATTAATTATTTAAACGTTCCTTAAACAGCAAAATAGAAAAAATAAGAAGGCCCGGTCCATGTGGACTATAATACAAAAGACTTCTTAGGAAATACACAGTCACGCTCACATCTGGCCGTTATGGCAGTAGTCAAATAATTAGATCTATGATTGCTCGCATCATATTTTAAATGAAGTCACTTGACCACGAAATACACAGATATCCTGTTTCATCGAGAACAAAGTATGTATGAATAGTGAAGTTACTCATCGATATTCGATACGGATTTTGAAGCAAGCTTAAAAATTATTATTTCACAAACTACGCAACTTCATTGAAACATTATAAAATGATACAAAAAATGTAATAGTTGGTTCTTCGCCTTTGAAATTGTTCAACTTTGGCAATCGGAAGGTCTTGTGAGTTGTGCAATTTGAGATTTCCGCTTGAAATGCATCAAATTGTTACCACTGATGGTTCGTTGCACTTTTTTTCTTTTATTTCCTCATGTTATTTTTTTAAAGAGTCTTTATTGTGGTTGGGTTTTTGTATGAGCTTACGCGTTTAGAATTTATTTTTGTAATTTTGGTGCTAAACGACTTTTGAGTGTGTTCATGTATCTTCAATCACGTACTCGATTGGTAAAGTACTTTACGCTTGAGTTTTTTATACGTTGCTCTTATTGCTTTCATTTTAGCGGAATTCGGAAACAATTTTGACTGAAAAAGTAGTAAATATATTTAGGTACTGATAAAATATATAGTCACCAAATTATGTTCTCTTACACTTCGCTATTGTATTCTATTCAAATAACGTTTGGTAAACATTGTAAATATGTCGTTTGACAGCAGGTTAAGTTGTCGTTATTAAAATATTATATAAAGATGTTATGGAACTTCTTAGTGACACAGTATACGATATGTATGGTATGTAATTAACTTTCATAATCA